ATTGGTAGCTAATACATTTTGATGATGATGATGATAAGGGAAATTCCATGGTGGGATGTATACTACCATTACGAACAAGTTGATCGTCTGTCATTGTTAATGGGTTTTTGGTTACAACACCTAGTGATGGTGATGTGGGTTAAAATAAAAAATGTGTGTTTTATGAATGTGGGTCACATTTATGTATGTTAGTTTCTATGTATGAATGTGGGTAATGTGCATTCCAAAATGATAAATCATCTATCTATCTCAAAAAAAAAATTAAAAAAATGAAAAATATGAAGATAAAATAAAACACCTAGAAAATTGAATAGGATGTGAGCCAAGAAAACACACTAATGATGAATTGTGTGTAATAGGATTGGATTAATAAAGAGAGAAAATTGGGAATATTTTAAAGTGTCACAAAAATCTTCAGGAAATTTGCAGTTAACCATATAATTTTCTTTTTACAAAACACTCTACCAAGTATGTGATTTTTTCAATACAGTATCGTAGGCAATAGAAAAAAAAATGTATGTTTTAAGAATGTGGGTAACTTATATATGTTAATCTCTATTATCATGTGCATTCAAAGATGATAAATCATTTATCATAAAACTTTAAATTAATAAATAATGAACACAAAGAAAAATTGAAGAATGTGAATGAAGAAACACACATAAACACACACAAATAGGTGAAATGAAGAATGTGAGCCAAAAAAACAAGGTTATTAATCTGTTCGTAATATGACTAAGAAAGAGAAAAATTGAAAATATTTTGAAGGATTAATAACTTCTGGCACCGAAATTATATGAAATTTACAATTTACCATATAAACATTTTTTACCAACGAACATAGTCTAATTTACTATCCGAACAATGTGTTTATGTTCGGAAGGCAAATTAAAAGAAAAATGTATAGTAAATATGGTTATTTGACAAAGTAACAAAAAAAATAAAATAAAAGATATTTTAATTTCCAAATTTCATGAAATTCAAGGTAAAAAAAATTACTTACCACTTTTAAGAATGAATAAATTCTATATCTTTAAACAGGAAAATGAAAGAATGTGAGCCATGAAAAAAGACAAATATTTAAAAAATAAAAAAAAAAGGAAATAATTTCTACATATTGCTTGTGATGATCATCATTCATACTTACTAACCTTGCACCCCAAGGAACAGAATCTGAAAGTGTCCAAGAGGCTCCTCCCACAGATCTGACAGACGTGAGAGACGGCCTTACCGGCCTTAGGCTGCGGCCTCTCATTCAGAAACAAAACCCTTGCGCTGTTTATTACATACGTCTGCACACCGCTTATGTCCAAAACCCTCTGAATCTCCGAAACTCTTACCACGTCGTGGTACGAAGATCGCCTTATCTGTCCGCCCAACCAAAAAACGCCTCACCATTAAATATATACATATATATTTCTAACTAACCAACTCATTAATTAATTACATAAAACAAAAACAAAAAACAAAAACATAAAAAACAAAAAAAGAAAAATAATCAGCTTTTAGTAATCGACCTGAATTACTTGGTGATCTCGGTGTTTGGACGAGCGGCAGTAGAAGCAGAAGGCGCCGGCGTTGCAATCGAGACAGTACATATTGCATTCGCTCCGGGCGGCGTCCACGTGTGTCCGGCAGACGCTGAAGAAGTTTGTGGCCAGCAGTTTTTCCAGCCACGGCGGCACCGGCATTGTTCCCTCCCAGAAGAAATTAGGGGACGAAAAAGGAATTATCTGTAAAAACCGGAACACGATCGGCGCCGGAATAGTTTCTGCGGCGGTGGAAGAGAGAAATTGAGAGAGAGAAAGGGGGCGGTGAGGAGAGAGAAAGAAGGGTGGGGGACTGACCGAACCAAATTGCACAAAATCAATAACGGAAGGTACATACATACACCGATACATACACACGCCTGAATTTATGAAAATATTTTATTAACGGACGGCCACGATTGAAACGGATGGCTCGGGAATTTTGTGAAATGTTGGATTGTTTGGCGATTTTACGCTACGATTTTAATTGGGATGTTCTTTGCGTCTGTACGTAGGCAAGGGAGTTGCCGTTACGGCGCCGTTTGAGTTGCTTTTGCTGAGGTTGGGAGGGTTGTGTTGTGATATGACGGAAGTGCCCCTGTGAATTGCCTAATATTTACATGTTTGGGGGACATGAAGGTTTAGGCAGGACGTCACGTTGGGTATGAGGTTATGGTAAGCATCGATCCTTTGGTTTTAAGGTGAAAGATTCCTTTTCGTGATTTAATTTCTAATTTCCTATTGTAAGAACATCTCTATTTTTTAATCTTTGATAAACCTTTCCTCCGTACAAAATAGTCACATTATAAAAAATTATCAACACCATTAATTTTTAAAATGTTATATATATTAATTTGTTCTTTAATGTATGTTGCCGTGAAGTTTGTCATGCATAGTAGAGATCATTAATAATGTTAGACAATATTGAGCCTAACTTTTTAATAGTCAATATCATGTATTCATGTTGAACATGATGATTCCTTGATTCCTTTTATATTTAGTTGAATAGTTATGTTGCTTTTATATAAAATGAATCATTTTAATTAATTCGATTAGATAAACAACTTCATATTGAATTGATGCACAAATCGAGCCAGATTTTATCAACTTTTTTTCAGCACTCATGATATGTGAATGCTATTAATCAGTCATTGTCATGTATTAAGAATTAATATTCATCAAAAGCATAGTATTACAGATGCTCTAAACACCTTAATGTTGATATAACTATGTGTGCTCATACATTGTGTTAGGGATCATTGTTAAATAGACATATTTTTATTGATAAAGATGCATATGTATCCTATTAAACATTTTCTTTTTATTTTATTTCTTCAAGTAAGATTGGTATATCTGATGAAAAATATGATTGTCTAACTATTAGTAGGGTGAGCATGATTCAGTACGGTTCGAAGATTGATAAATCTTAAGAATCATACCGAAATTCTCAGATCTCTAAAACTCAATCTATGGAGCCGTGCTAAAAAATCGGGATGTTTCAGTTCAGAGATTTTTATTTTCGGTTCGGTTCGATTCGGTATTCAGGACTATCGGAACAATTCGGTTTGGTTTGGTTCGGTTCGAATCTCCGGAGATTTCTAATTATTTTTTAAATTTCTTTAAATGACTACCTAGTTATATTTTAATATTTATATGCTTAAAATAAAAAAGACAAGAATCATCAATATTTTATCATATTAAAGATTTTATTTTGAAATCAACTTTAGAAGTAACTCTAAATTTTAGTTAAGACAAAATTTGGATAACTAACATTGAAAATTTAAAAAATTCAAACAAAATATAATATAGTTTCTTAAAATAATACTTCTTTAACTTTTCATACAGTTTTAATTATAAGGTAGAATAAGGTAGAATAAGACTAAGGAAAGTATCGACAAATTTAAGTAAAGTTTAAATATTATTTTTGAAAAATATTTCTTTAACTTTTCATGTCAATTTAAATATTTTTCTTTTGAAACAAAAAAAATTTCAATTGTAGAACAAGTAGTATTACTAAGCATGAAATTTAAATGAAGCTTAATTGTCATTACTATATTTTTGCATTTTAAAAATTCTCAAATTATATAGTATCAAAGTTGACATAAAATATATTAATAACACACATCTAATGTTATATATTCGGTTCGGTTAACGGTACGGATATTTGTGTAATCTCTAGAACCGTATCAATTATTTTTTCGGTTCGATTCTGTTCGAAGAAAGTCAAACGGTCAACGGTTATTTTTTGGGTCGGAGTAATTTCGGTTCGGTATTCGAAACGATTCAAAATTCTCCGAGTCTCATGCTTAGTCCTAGTGCTTATTCACATACAAATGTGTCAAATATTACATTTTTTTTTCAATCACTAAGAGCATAAAAGTGTATAATCCATTGCAATTAGTGTATATAGATTCATTAATGATCATTATCCCAAAGATTAAAGGTACATAATAATTAATTTTTTTATGATTACATCCTCGCAGAAGCTTGCTCCTTTGAGATCTAACACCTTTCATGGCCCTTGGAGCAAGGAAGGAGCATTAATTTGTATAAATCAGTTAATTTAATTTAAATAATGTAAGGCAACCTGCAATTAGGCAAGTTAGGAGTAAAGAGTAGTTTAGGCTGATGCACGTTCCCATATGTTTTGCCAGCCTCGCTCCCTTGCCAAGCACATAAAGCCATCAATTTTAATTTGCACCAAATATATACAATTATAGTTACCCATTTTTATGGAATTTCTCCAAATGACAAATTAATTTGATCAAGATTCTTATATTATAATGCTGTCAATACAATTTTGGTCATAAATTGTTTAATGCTTTTGAGATTAATTTTCAATTATGCGGGTTTGATGTGCCTTGGGGTCATAATTGATATGGCATCATATATATTTGTTATGTGAAATAAAACAACTTGAAAAATGTACATTCAGTTATTCTACATGCATAATAGCACGTTACAT